GCCTAGGTTGCACACACCTGGACTAAAAGCAGTTTGCATTGTGGCAATTACCAAGGCAGGGCCGTGGGACTATTGGGTGTGTGTACGGGAGCAGTGGCCCAGGACCCCTGAGGATACCTCACTTGGATTCTGGGCAGACTCAGCAGAAAGTGCAAAGGTGTGGGGTGGGGTTGGTGTTTGGATTAAATATATAAATCGAAGCTTGTACATTTGAGACGTCTGGAGTAGAGTCCACGGGCACTATCACTGGTTTGACAGGTTGTCGATGTAGACATCTTAGCTTGAGAAGGGTCACAGTGTCTCCCACTGGGAGATGAGTTCTGGCTGGGACAGGAGCAGTTCTTCTTGGGTTGTGCCCTTTTTCTCGTTATGGGGGAGTCTCTGCATCTATCTGCATCTAGTTTCACCCATGGAAAATGAAAGGAAGTGAATCTGCGAGTCCATTTTGTGGTGTTGTAACAGAATAACACAGACTGGGTAATGTATGAAGAACAGAAATGCATGTGTGCACAGCTCTGGAGGCTGGAAGTCTAATGTCAAGGGGCCGGCAGATTTGGCAGTGCTGATTCCAAGACGAGGCCTGAGTGCGGCATCCTTCAGAGGGGAGGATGCTTTATGGCCAAAGGCAGAAGGGCAAAGACAGAAAAGGGGGCCAAACTTACCTTTTATAGTGACATTATAAATCCCCATCTGTGGGGACAGAGCCCTCAAGATCTAATCCTCTCTTAAAAGCCCCACCCCTTAGTACTGTTGCAATGGCAATTCACTTTCCACATGAGTTTCAGTGGGGACAAAAATTCAAACCACAGCAGTGATATTGGCCTCTGAAGACTGGAGCAGTGTCTCAGGGAGACTGTATTCCAGTGATATTGACTACCACTCAGATAGAGCCCACTTCTTCACCTCTGCCCCCTACCACCTTCCCTGGTTGCCTCTACAAATCATATCCGCTGTTAAAGAATAAGTAGTTTTTCTGGCTCAGCACCTATAGCCCAGTGGTTACAGCACCAGCCACATACACCAAGGCTGGAGGAGTTGAACCAGGCCCAGGTCAGCTAAACAACAATGATAACTGCAACCAAAAATAGCTGGGTGCTGTGGTGGGTGCCCTGTAGTCCCAGCTATCTGGGAGGCTGAGGCAAGAGAATCGCTTAAGCCTAAGAGTTTGAGGTTGCTGTGAGCTGTGATGCCACGGCACTCTACTGAGGGCAACATAGTGAGACTCTGTCTCAAAAAAAGAGAATAGTTTTTCTTTATTTTGTCACTCAGGATGCCCCTGTGGGCGATCTCAAAACGGCTGCAGCAGTAGCATCGTTCCTGGAGTAGGGCTGCGGCTTTCACAGTTTTGTGTCCCTGCGTCTGGGGCCCTCTTAGGTCTGTTCAGAGATACCCCCGTACCACCATGGGTTGAATGTTCATCCTCTCCAAAACTCGTGTTGAAATTTCATCCCCAAGGTGGGAGTATCGAGACGGGGGCCTTTAAAGAGGGGATTGGGTTATGAGGACAGAGCCCTCATGAACGCATTAATCTGCTCACGGATTAATGGGTTATCGCAGGTGGCTTTTTATGGGGAGGAAGAGAGACGTTAGCACACTCAGCCCCCTTCCCAGGGGAGCCCTGTGCTGCCGTGGACTCTACAGTGAGTCCCAGACAGCAGGAAGGCCTTCGGCAGGGCCAGCTCCTTGACCTTGGACTTCCCAGCCTCCAAAACTGAAAGAAATAAGTTCCTTTTTATAAATTATCCATTTTCATGTATTCTGTTGGAAGCCACAGAAAGTGGACTAAGACACCCCACCTCCTTCACAAGGACCCCCCAGATATTCATAGTTTACTTTACCAGATGGAAGGAATGCCCAGACCTTGCCAAGACCTGCTAGGTCTTGAGAAGCACAGGTAGCAAAGTCTAACTCAGGGTCAAAGAGACTCTGAGGACTCCGGATGGAGCCTTATCACAAGCCAGCTTTGATGACTGCTGACTCAGTTATGGGGCGGTGGGGTCTGCCGGCTGCTGCATGGTGTGACTGTCGTGGACATTTTGCTCTCTGTCTCCCACCCCGACTTTCTGCTGCACGGAGCTTCTCTCTGTGTGTCCTGGTCCCCAGTGGTCAGGCTGACCCTTCTCATTGCTGGCACTGTGGTCATTATTAACATCCGTGTCGGGTAAGGATGTCTCTGATCTTCCCTCTGGTTATAAGACGTTCTAATAATACCTCGAGGTCAAGGCCAGGAATACAGAGACATTTATGAACATGAACATAGACGCTGAGTGCACGTGCTTTGTTTCGACTTTCAAATGGGCCCAGTTGTGAATAAATTAGGTTTATTTAGGTTTGCATTTTTTCACTGGTGTGTAATAACATTTACACATGTTTATGGGGTACGGGTCGTATTCTGTACTTGCATACGATGTGGATGATTGAATCACCTCAGCCATTTGTCATTGTGTTGGGAACATTTCAATTCTTTCTTGTAGTTATTTTGAAATACACAGCACATTGTCAACTATAGTCCCTCTCCTGTGCTATTAAAGTAGAACTTATCCCTTCTGTCTAACTATACCTTGGTACTCATTACCCAAACTCTCTTCAGCAGCCCCCCTTTGTAACTTGTGTTCTACTTTCTACCTCCATAAGGTCAAGTTTTTAAACTCCCCCCACATACGAGGGAGAATATACCATATTTGTCTTTCTGTGCCTGGCTTATTTCACTTAATGTAATGACCTACAGTTCCATCTGTGTTGCCGCAAATGACAAGATTTCATTCCTTTTTTATGACTGAATAGTATTCCATCATGTGTGCGTACCACATTGTCCTTATTCATTCTAGGTGAATATACTTTTCATGAATTCAGGCTTCTGGCAAAGTATTTAGTGGGTAGAAACATTGAGGACTGTCTCTTTGGCACGAGAAAGACAGAACAACTGATCCTACTGGGGTGAGAGGCTAGGGGTTTGGGGGGGGTGCATGTTTGCTGCCAGATGATGACAGAATGCTCTGAAGCCCAGCTGCCACGAGAGAACATTTTCCTTAGGACCTTCAGAGGTCTTTGAGTGGGTTTGGCCTCACGGTAACTTGTCAGGGATCTCGGGTCCCTTTGCCAAGTTTTGCAAGTCTGTTTCAAGCCCCTGATGTCCTGTTGTTTGCACTTTCTGCAGAAACTCGGGACAAAGCCTGACCTTACTTTCTATTTCCATTTAATTATGCTCCAACTAAAAGTTGTCAGTGAAGTTAGAAAACTGAAACATGTAGAATTCCAGAGAAGAAAAACATACAACCACCAGGCAAAGTGAAGCTCCCCCCCCCTTTTTTTCTTTTTTCCTCTTTGAAATGATGTTTGAAAAGGCTGGTCAATTTGTCATGAAATAATTTGGATCCTCTTTTAATCTTCCCAGGAAAACCTGTGTACTTTGGGATCAAAGTCACATGAATCCTTGCCGGGCAGGAATGTAAATGTTTTGAGAAGGCTGTGTCTTTCCACGTTTGAGCCACAACAGAGGCTGAGGGAACTGTGGATGAAGGCTAGGTGGTGTACAAGATGTTCCGGGCAATTTCTAACTCTGACAAGACACAGGAACTCTTCCTCCTGCTGGGACGTCTCCTGTCCCCTTCAGTAGACCCCAGGCTCGAGGAGGGGTCATTGAGAGAATGCTCCCTTCTCCTTGACTCTGGCCCACTATGGCATGACTGAGGGGGTTGGAGGAGGGCCCCAGTTTAAGCCTAAACTATTCTTAATACCATCAGGTGGTTTTTTTGGCCCATTTTTGGGTGGAGTTGGGAGTGTGGGAAAGTGATGTCAGGCTTTTTTTGTGAATTTTAAGCTCTGCACGCCTGACCTGAATGGATAGCTGTAAGTATCCCCAGAATAGGGTCATGCATTTGTCAGATTCCTGAGACAAACAAGGAAGAAGAGAATGAAAAAAAAAAAGGAACTTAATTTGGAGGTTGTCAGCTGGCTGGTGTTTATGAAATCCAGCTGACCTTGTGCAGGGAGAGACAGGCCTTCCTGCCTTTCCCGTTCTGGTTGTCCAGTGGGCAGCTCCTCTTGAAGGCCCACAGACCCCTGCGGGTTGAGGTTCCACCCAGGGCTGGTGTTGTTTCCAGCCGTGTAGACACTCATGGAGGAGTGTGGAGCTGCTCAAGGCAGCACTATCCTCGGAGTCAGCAAACCCAGGTCCAGCCTCAGCTCTGCTACGACCTATTAGTTCTGTGGCATTTGGGGAACTGTTTCTCATGTGCAAGGGACTGTCACACGGCACTGTCCATGTCACGGAGATCTGGTGAGGTGCCAGTGAAAACAGTGATCAGGAACTGATGGTTGCCATGCCCACGTTGGCATTGGTGCCAAGGGATTTCCATCTGGTGGCCGTAATATGAAGGTTGAGCAGGACCAGAGCTTGTCTGGAAATGTGAACATCCAGTAGGTCCGAGCTGAATGGAAACTCAGCAAATATTTACTCCAACTGTGCCACTGGACAGCTAAGGAAACTGAGTCTTAGAGAAGGGAAAACCCATTTGAACAGCCCAGCAGTGGCCCTGGAGAGACTCTACTCCATAGTGGGGCCACATCCCAAAGAACACTCTGTCCTGCTGGGGGGACAGAGAATCTCGCTCATTCAAAGGTGGAACTGACCATAGAAAAGGCAAAAGGCAGAGCTGAAAGGTCTGAGCCCTACACAAAGAACGACAGCCCAAGGGAGACGACTCCGGACGGGATCCAGCTGGTTCCGCCGTTCCCATTCCTTGTGCCAAGTCCCTTGACCTCGTGAGCCAGAGGTGAGCCTCAGGCGCCGTTTCCAAGTCCCAGAGCAGCCTGAGGATTAAAGGGGCCTGTCAGTGGTGGCCCCTTAAGGTGGGCGGGGGGCCGTGAGGAAGGCGTGAGTCACAGGCGCTGGTTCTGCTCCATGGTGAATGGCTCTGGTGGAGAATTATAGGTGTGGAGGAGACTAACCTTAAAGTCTCCAACTTTATAGGGTGTGAATAAAGGCTGATGCATGGTGCCTAGTAACAAAACAAGGGCACGTTCCAGCTCTTGATCTCATCCAGAGAGGCCTCGACTTGTTCGGCAGGGCCTGGGCTGCTCATGTCGCCCGGGATGGAGCAGGCGGAACAGCCAACGAGAAACCAGACGCCAGCCCAGGAGGACAGGGGCCTCTTCTTTCTGAAGATCTGGATATGTGCAGGCCCTGGGCTCTCTGTGCTTTGAGACAACTGACACCTGCAATTCCAATCACACAGGGACAACTGGGGAGGGACAGCTGTGTCCTGACTACTCCAGGAATGTTGGGAACGCTGGCTGGGGAAGGAAAATAATCTCTCACTCTTTTATATCCCCACCACCAGCACCCACGCACCCCTCCCTGGGCCACCGGCCTCCCCAGCAAGGTGTCTCTAGGCGTCTGTACCCGGCCTTGTTTTCTTGACACTGATCACACTTCTCCCTGTTAAGCCCATGTTATTAATCACCGCAGAACGTGGGTCCTAGCGCTGCCGCTGGAAGAAAACATTCCTTCTTTCGTTTTGCTAGTGGAGACCGATTGAAGAGTCAGAAACAACTGAGAAACAGGCCCTGGTTTGGGGTCAGGGTCACGGGATTGGGGTTCTTGGCTCCCTGCGTGGGAGGAGGAGGGGTTGCAATGGCAGCTCTTGGGTTTCCTTGGATCTACCAGCTGATGGAGCCCCTGGGCTGGGAAACCACGTGGGAAGGTTCATTGTCATGGCTTTGCTCAGAAAGCAGAGACCCAGGAGACTGAGTGTAGTTCTGTACTCTCTTCCAAAGCCCAGGCTTGTCAAGGGCAATGCCCTTTCCGGAGGCGGCCTGCACACAGGCCCAGGAGGAACCAGGAGGGATGGGACAGCCCACACACACGTCAGTGAGGGGACACTACCTCGTTCCTCTGAAACAAGTCAGTTTGGGAAGCTGAATCAGAGGGAATGCCGTCGCTCACCCTGGAGCCTGGCCAGGAACTGAGGGTTGGACCTCGCTAAAAATAAGCCACTCATGTCTGGACCTCGCGCTCTGTCTCCTCAGAGCCCTGGCACTTGGTGCCCTGCCACGTCCTGTGGCGCCCTGTGGTGTCCTGTGGGTTGGGGCCAGGGACTGACTCAGGACGAGAATGTTCTCTGGACTCTTTTTCCACCAGGTTGGGTGCAATGGAGGAAAGGCTTGGTGATGAGTCTCTGCTCTGTGTCACCTCTGGACTATGCCACAGGCAGGGGATGCAGAGAGAGAAGGAGCTGGAAGCAGAGGCCCCCCAGGAGTGTCAGGGAGGCACGCTCCCCTGAGGGCCCTCCCTCCTGCCCTGGAGACCAGTGTGTCTCCCTGGCACAACCTTTCCAAAGCTGACGCCTTTACGGGTTATTAGAGGGTGGAGGAAGTAAGCAGTTGTTTTTTTTTTTTTTTTCCAAAATGGAAAGAACTCTGAGGTATACTCATTATTTAAAAAAAGTCAAACAAAAAAGAAAAGTAAAAACAAATTAAAATCCTCCCATATCTGTCTCCTTCTATAAATTTCTAGAGGAAACACACATTTGATGCATAGTTTTGGGTACACATTTAGGTGAATACGTTTTCCTTATGTAAGAATGTGGTTAAGTCAACATTTTCCAATTCATTTTCTTCATTTTGAGACAAAGTCTTGCTCCGTCTCTCAGGCTGAGTGCCATGCTGTCACCATAGCTCACTGTAACCTTCATTTCCTGGGCTCAAGTGATCCTCCTGCTTCAGCCTCCTGTGTAGTTGGGACTCTGGGTGTTTGCCACTATTCCTGACTATTTTTTTAAAAATTTACTCACTATACCAAGGACCATGGCTAATTTTTAATTTTTTTTTTTTGTAGAGATGAGATCTTGCTATGTTGCTAAGGCTGATCTTGAACTCCTGGCCTCAAGCTGTTCTCCCACCTTAGCCTCCCAAAGTTATAAGATTATAGGTATGAGACACTGCACCTGGCCTTGATTTTCTTACTTAGTAATATATCATGGACAATTTATCATAGCCATAATTACAGATTTATATGATCATTTTAATAATTGCATGTGGAGGAACCATAATTTAACCCAGAGGTTAACAA